ATAAAACCTCATACATGTACCATGTAAAATTGATAACAATTAGAAGTATGATTTGAAAACATTATACACAAATATCAGAGGGATTTGTGTCTTTTCAAGCGACTGTTATAAATTAAGTATAATATTACAGCTAAAACGGCATTCTTTCAATGTGAATATAATCTTACATGGGTCTGTTCCGTGGACAGGGATATCTCAACCCGAGTGTAGGAATTTGGCTGGAAGCCTTGTGCTGGCCAGCCAAACTCTTACACAAAGGGTTGATAGATCCTTGTCCATGGAACAGACCCATGTTTGATTATTTTTCTCACATACTTACAAATAAACAAATTCCTGTCGGAATAAACATCGATCTTATTCTTTCGCCAAAACTCTAGGGTTGAGACGGAGGATTACCCTCAACAATTGTATGACATCACGGAAACAATACAATGACGTCACGTCGACAATTCATTAGTATGCATGTCAGCTGTCTTTCCCTACCCCGTGTGAGATAGAGTTATCTCTTTCCTAGCAACAACGGGGTCACCCTATGAAATATGTGAGAAGACCTCATCCTGCTCTGTAATCGTCTATCTATCATGCTTTAGAAGGATCCATCAGGAATAATGCACATTGAATCATAAAACAAGAAGATTCTGTCTGGGTTCTTACTGTGAGTTGTCATATAATTGTAGACAACTCTGTTTTCGCAATACAAATGTTTCAAATCAGATTTTGTTACAGATGAACGACAATGCTTAATTACAATAAATGGTAAATTTGTACCCTCTGGCAATTAATCAACGATATATTTTTGTCACAAAAATGTTTTTTTTTTTTACAATGTATAGTTTTATTCGATGTATAGATTTTTTTACGATGCATAGTTTTGTGACGAGTAAGGTTTTGTTACAGTGTATAGGTTTGTTACAATGTAAAGGTTTGTTACCATGTATAGGTTTGTTACAATGTATAGGTTTGTGACGAGTATGTTTTTGTATTGATAAATGTATAGTTTTGTGGAGGGCATGAGCATGCTTTTGTTACATTGTATAGATTTGTTACAATGTTTAGTTTTGTGAGAAAGGAAAGTTTTGTTACAATGTATAGTTTTGATACAATGTATAGGTATGTTACAATGTATAGTTTTGTGAGAATGGAAAGTTTTATTACAATGTATAGTTTTGTGACACGTCTGCTTTTGTTACAATGTTTAGTTTTGTGACACGTCTGTTTTTGTTACAATGTATAGTTTTGTGAGAATGGAAAGTTTTTTGAGAATGGAAAGTTTTGTTACAATGTTAAGTTTTGTGAGAAAGAAAAGTTTCGTTACAATGTAAAGTTTTGTGAGAATGGAAAGTTTTGTTACAATGTTAAGTTTTGTGAGAAAGAAAAGTTTTGTTACAATGTTAAGTTTTGTGAGAAAGAAAAGTTTTGTTACAATGTTAAGTTTTGTGAGAATGGAAAGTTTTTTGAGAATGGAAAGTTTTGTTACAATGTTATTTTGTGAGAAAGAAAAGTTTTGTTACAATGTTAAGTTTTGTGAGAATGGAAAGTTTTTTGAGAATGGAAAGTTTTGTTACAATGTTAAGTTTTGTGAGAAAGAAAAGTTTTGTTACAATGTTAAGTTTTGTGAGAAAGAAAAGTTTTGTTGCAGTGTTTAGTTTTGTGAGAAAGGAAAGTTTTGTTACAATGTTAAGTTATTTGAGTATTACTCTGCTACAGTATGTAGTTTTGTTGTTTTTTATGACGTGTAAGATTAAACATGCCATAGTTGAGTTTCCATGTATATTTTTATTGCAATGTAAAGTTGTTGGTTTTAACAAGATATTACCTTGTATTCGTGTATAGTGTTGTGAAGAGTATGTTTCTTGTTAAAAGTTGTAGTTTTTTTAAACAAGTACATTCTAATGAGAAACATGTGAATTGAATACTATTGCACTTTATGGACAGGTAACATTGTTTATTATACTGTAACTAAATGGGCTGGAAATTATGTTCATATTATACTATAACTACATGGGCTGGAATACTTGTTTGTAATACTGAAACAACCTGGGCTTGAAATTCTGTGTATTATACTGTAATTACATTGACTGCAAATCCTGTTTATTATACTGTAACTACATGGGCCGGAAATCCTGTGTATTATACTGTGACTAAATGGGCTGGAAATCCTGTGCATTATATATACTGTGACTACATGGGCTGGAAATTCTGTGTATTATACTGTAACTACCTGGGCTGGAAATCCTGTGTCTTATACTGTGACTACATGGGCTTGAAATCCTGTGTATTATACTATAACTACATGGGCTGGAAATTCTGTGTATTATACTGTGATTACATGGGCTGGAAATCCTGTGCATTATATATACTGTGACTACATGGGCTGGAAATCCTGTGTATTATACTGTAACTACATGGGCTGGAAATTATGTGTATTATACTGTAACTACATGGGCTGGAAATCCTGTGTATTATATATACTGTGACTAGATGGGCTGGAAATCCTGTGTATTACACTGTGACTACCTGGGCTGGAAATCCTGTGTATTATCCTGTGACTACATGGGCTGGAAATCCTGAGTATTATACTGTAACTACATGGGCGGGAAATGCTGTGTATTATACGGTGACTACATGGGCTGGAAAGCCTGTGTATTATACTGTAACTACATGGGCGGGAAATGCTGTGTATTATACGGTGACTACATGGGCTGGAAATCCTGCGTATTATACTGTAACTACATGGGCTGGAAAACCTGTTCATTATAGTGTAACTACAGGGACTGGATTTTTGTTCAATAGTCAGTACGATCCGATACATATGGTGCCTGTATTGAGTGTGGGTCCTGTTCATTATAGTGTAACTACAGGGACTGGATTTTTGTTCAATAGTCAGTACGATTCGATACATATGGTGCCTGTATTGAGTGTGGGTCCTGTTCATTATAGTGTAACTACATGGGCTGGAAACCCTGTGTATTATACTGTGACTACAAGGGCTGGAAATCCTGTGTATTATATATACTGTGACTACATGGGCTGGAAAGCCTGTGTATTATACTGTAACTACATAGGCTGGAAATCCTGTGTATTATACTGAGTCTTTATGGGCTGGAAATCCTGTGTAATATACTGTAACTACATGGGCTGGAAAACCTGTTCATTATAGTGTAACTACAGGGACTGGATTTTTGTTCAATAGTCAGTACGATTCGATACATAATACTGTAATTACATTGACTGCAAATCCTGTTTATTATACTGTAACTACATGGGCGGGAAATGCTGTGTATTATACGGTGACTACATGGGCTGGAAATCCTGTTCATTATTGTGTAACTACAGGGACCGGATTTTTGTTCAATAGTCAGTACGATCCGATACATATGGTGCCTGTATTGAGTGTGGGTCCTGTTCATTATAGTGTAACTACATGGGCTGGAAACCCTGTGTATTATACTGTGACTACCTGGACTGGAAATCCTGTGTATTATACTATAACTACATGGGCTGGAAATCCTGCGTATTATACTGTAACTACATGGGCCGGAAATCCTGTGTATTATACTGTAACTACATAGGCTGGAAATCCTGTGTATTATACTATAACTACATGGGCTGGAAATCCTGCGTATTATACTGTAACTACATGGGCCGGAAATCCTGTGTATTATACTGTGATTACATGGGCTGGAAATCCTGTGTTTTATATATACTGTGACTACATGGGCTGGAAATCCTGCGTATTATACTGTAACTACATGGGCTAGAAATCCTGTGTATTATACTGTGAATACATGGGCTGGAAATCCTGTGTTTTATATATACTGTGACTACATGGGCTGGAAATCCTGTGTATTATACTGTGACTACATGGGCTGGAAATCCTGTTCATTATTGTGTAACTACAGGGACTGGATTTTTGTTCAATAGTCAGTACGATTCGATACATATGGTGCCTGTATTGAGTGTGGGATGTGCTCATTTCTCGCGCCATCGTACAAAATAAAAACTAAATTGCCCTCGGACGGGATGTAAGTAGTACTGTAGTTGTATAACCTGTATCCTATTTGTTTGCTTCCCAAAAACTCATGTTTGTAATCAAATACAAATAAGATAACGGGACATCGGTACGCGATCGGTAGTCCAATCCAAACTTTTTAGTATTCCGTCCTTTTCTAGACACATAAGTGTCCAAACGAACGACGTTCCATTATTCAGCAGAAACAAAAACAATTGATATTTCAGTCCAAACCATCTATTAATCCGACCATTTCTAGGCACCAAAGTGTCAGAACGATCCACGTTCCACTTTTCAGCAGAAACAAAAACAATCGGTATTCCAGTCCAAACCATCTGTTAATCTGACCATTTCTAGACACCAAAGTCTCAGAACGAACGACGTTCCGTTATTCAGCAGAAACAAAAACAATCGGTATTTCAGTTCGAACTATTTGTTAATCCGAACATTTCTAGACACAAACGTTAGATCTAGACTCATTTAATAATCTTACATAAAGTTCATAAATACTGTGTTGGTCGTTAGAAACATGTGTTACGTTCTTAAATATCGGTATGTAACAGACATTCCTGGACCACGCGCTCACGTTTATCGACAGACCGCCGACACGGGACAGATGTCGTTTACAACCCCGACACCTCAAACTACAACACATTGACATCGATTCCGTAACGTACCAGAACAAAACTTCAGGTGATATAAATAAATTAACGTTTCATTATCTGTATACATTGGGTTCAGGTGGACCTTGACGATAGGACCCAAAGACGTCAGCTTGGTGAAGCTAATAAACGATCTCATCAGACAATTAAATACGTTCAGCTGTCTGCATAACATAAAATAAATGGTAATATGTAATAAAATGACAACTGCTACGGCAATTGAAGGAAACACCCGAAGTCATTTGAGTAAATGTACAGCCTATTATATTATCTTTTCCAATCGATATTTCTACCTGAACAGGTGTTTGCATATTGATCGATCTTACCTGTGTGTGTTGAAAGTATCATATCCATAAGTACCATTTAACATTGATGTCGTGTCCTATAGCGATACCAGTTTCTTCCTTCTAGTCACACCGTTAAAGTAAGGAAAATATTTCACTCTGAAAACGTCCCACAGCAGCACAGCTACAAAAACTGAAACCTACATCTTCACGGAGCTGCTGATTGACAGGTGCGCGTTAATAATACATATAATTGGTTTCAATAGTACTTTTGATGTATTAACCAATACTAAACCAGTAGAGTAATGGTATCAATAGTGTGTAGGCCCTGCCCCGACAGTCCGAGTAGTATAGTGGGAAGGACATACACTATACCATCACTATCCCAGCATGGCTCCTCCCTCGCTAATGAAATCATATTTCAATGGCAGATTCATACCATGAACATCGATACACGACCGGACGGCGTCTACATGTTCCTAAGTCTATATTTTCAATTCAGAAAACAATAGGTTTTATTGAATTGCGCGTCGACGGCGGTAACCCGAGGAGGGGACAGTATCGATGTTACGCGGCCAAGAGGGGGAGCAGACTGAAGGAATAGACAATTCGATTTTATATATGATTAAATCTTATTTCATGTCAAATACACGACTTCATATTTCATCTACGAACCTGTCAAATATTTGAAGCTGTTTTACAACAGCAGTTAATAACATGTTGTTGTCTAATCGGCCGTTCTCTCTGCGACTGCTGTCGTCTATACATCCGTTCATAGGTCTGTAAAACCTTGTTATTGTTCTTTACCGTGCATATTTTAATTCTAGCTTAGTTTGAAACAAGTCAATGTGTCAAGAAATGTTTAAAACCAGCATCTCTTCTTGCAACGATGGCGAATTTGGCTGCGCTGTTATTGAGAACAGGAAATCGTTAGAATTAGATCCTAAGAACGCCACACTCTAGACATAATGGCAGAAGATTGATAGGATAGATAGAAATCATTGTACATGTATGGTTCTTATTGATAGAAAGAATGAAATGATTAAAAAAAGCGTAATTGTGAACATTATTCCACTTTTCAAGCTTTTTTTCAGAATTGTTCTTATCAATAAAACATTTATTTTAAATGCGCGAATATTAACGCGGAATATTATCACTCACCTGACCCGTTATAACCTATTTGATAGTACATGTACCTGTTGTAACAAATTAGATCCCTGTGAACCTGAATATAAATCTACGTATTTGAGCAATCTGGATCAAAAATATCATGACTCGAGGCATTGCAGTTCTTAAGAAGAAGTCGTTTGACGTTTTTGACACTTTTGACCCTTGTGACTTGGCAAGTGATTCGATGTCATTTATTATGTAGCAATTTAATAGTCCGTTACCTCGGCAAGCTACATGCATTTATCTTATATCATGACCCTGTGCCTTAGTGATCTTAAGAAGAAGAATTCTTATAAAGAAAAAGATGACTTGTGCTGGGTGAGTTAGAATATGAAACTTTTTTTTAGTCGGAGAATTTTACCTTCGATCCAAACTCTGACTATGTATGTGTCTTGTAAAGCGAGTAGTTTGACCTTGATCCGGTGAGAATGACACGGGCCCTAAAACTCCTCATAGCATTGAAGAGGTGTCTCAGCATTACCACCTGTTGACCTCCTCCTACCTAGACTTGAGCTATTTATTGTCATTGATGATAGAAAGCCTCTTACAAGGTCGCTACAGACGGACGTTAAAGTCACCGGCACTGATTGTTTCACTTTTAAGACAAATACGTTCTTGGTTCGTCCATACAAGTGAACTCGAACAGCACTTGGATTCCTGAAACCACTCAAATCCTTTTTTCTGACAGACCTTACGTTAGTGTAATTGGTATGCGAATATATTCTCGTAATAAAAACAAAGCAAACAGTGGCACAAATCGTATATCAAAATATATCGCTGAAGATCAAAAGGGAGATGTAACATATATATATCTATCTATCAATGAGGCGCTTGTGAAATTGACGCAGCAACATATGTCAGGCATGCAATACTTATCGCTGTGCTGATTGCTTTAAGGATGCCTGCCCCGACTGCAGACGAAAACATTAGATAATTCCGAAGTAGTTTTTCGTAGATAATAACCTCCCCTTAAATTCGGACCAGGGTGCTACTGTTTATCAGGTAGCTGTGTTGGTAAAAGCGACAGTAAAATGATCGTAAGTCCAGTGTTCGAACCCGCTGTATTTTACACTAGTTTTACACTGTTGTTTATTTTTGTTTATTTCATCCGTATTTTTTTTTAGAAAAATACCGCAAGGTATATTTCTCTTTAAAAAAAATATTCATCATATCTATAGTCATGCAGAGAAAAAGTTTCTTCAGAATAGTCACATTTTTTTGCAGTGGGACAAGGACCCTTAATGCAAAATTAAAGGATCAACATAAACACAGCACAACGTCAGACGCTGATACAATGAACAAACAGCTGGTATTGAAACATGAAATATGTCTGAATAGGTCAATGAATACATGTACCTTTGTCAAGCTGTGTGCGTTTGACTCGTGATGTAATACCAATAGATGTCTCTGTCAAGTTATATTTTTGCATAAAAGTATTGTTAGGTCTATTTCAATAGCAGCATTGTGTATCATAAGGCATTTATGTTTAAATTGTAAAGACATACTGTGAGTCACTACTACGAGATGGCAGCTATAACTTCTTACTCATAGATTTATCCTCGATTTTCCTTATAGCAATGCTATAGCGCGCGCAGACATTCCCGTCCCCCAAATATAATCATACATACTAAAGCCATTCATTTCCCTTACCAAAATATATTCTAAATTTGCCACTTGTGATTAGATTTCGTATTGACAGGTGTCAACCCTCAAGACAATAGAAAAGCCCTTGAAATCCATGCTAAACAAATTTGTTGCCTAAAACACCTTTTTTATAATCAGTCCTTCATAGTTGTCTCCATTGTGAACACTCTCCGTGTTGGAAGGCCTGCAATCACTAGACATATCATGGACAATTAATCACATGACTGTCTGTATTATCTCCTCCACCAGCCGCCCCCCCCCGTCCCCCCTCTCCTCAACACATTATTGCATTTTCACGTGAGGTTTTGTCATAGAATTCGAGAACACGGAAGCGGCTTTCTGATTGGCTATTCTCCAGCGGATGTGTAACAGATGAACTGACACGCGATTAAATTTACAAGGCAGCAGTCAGGCACGTTAACAACTTCATAACCGTTTTACGATCAATGTAGGCTTCATATTGCATCCGAAACACGTGTACCTTAAAGCTTTGTTTTACCTCCGATTACCCTGAAAAGGACCGGTCTGGCACGAACCTCACAAATATCATGTTTCTGAATCACCACTTTGTCTTGGTTTTGCATTGATACATTATTTAAAGCTTTACGCCGAGAAACAATACAAAATAAAAAAGACAATTCTGACATGGATTTTGCAGTTAACGTGAGGCCTGTAGTGTATGTTCTGAGATAAGTCATGGAATGCGGGCAAAAAACATTGGTCTGGATGCCAAGCATAGTGTCCACAAATCTTGACCTATGCAACAATGTTTAATGAAGCAGCTCTCAGAGTTGCTTTATCTACAAGTTACAAGTTATTCTCGATGGCGTTACCTGGCAAATCCGTTGTTATTCAGGCAACCAATTTAATTTGATGAGTAACTAATATATAGAGGAATGACAGAGAACAGAAGACAATGTCCCCTTCACGTTTCCGGTACAACCGGTCTGTCTATCTTTTAAAAAAGCATCTTCGGGTATAAATTCTGAACGACCTGAAAAGGTTTATGCAGGCCTTGCAAGGCTTTGTCAAGGCTCGCCCGAAAGCAGCAACATATTACTGGGTCCGACCTCATTTCATAAACGAACAACTCTGGTCCAACCGGTTCAAACGTTTGGATCGCGATAAAACGAATTCGGCCAAGTTCTGGTTCGGTTCTATTTGGCTTAGCGTCCCATTAACAGCTGAGGTGATTTAAGGATGTGCCTGAAAGTGTATAATGTATGTGTATTCCACCCGATTAGCTAGTCGTTGCGATTTCCATAAACGCTGAACGCTTAAAATGGAATAATAACTACTACTTAAAGGATGTTTGGTCAATCTGGCCCGGGGACAGATCCCATTGCCTTCTCCGAATGGGCGCACGTTCAACACTGAAGCCATGAGCGATGTATTGCCAAGCAAGGCACTAGGAGACAAAAAGGTTATTAGAAAGTAGAGAGAACATATAACGATCCCAAATGTTGCAGTGGGTGCAGAAGATATAATTTGATCAAATCTGTGCCCTTCAGTAGAGGGCACAAAGGCAAATCCGAAATTCTGCAGGGAGTTCCCACATTAGTGCCTCCTACAACATACAGGAATGTTTTAAAACAAGGCAAAAACAACACAGCAACATACAGCGTTATTCTCTAAATGTTAAAGACTGCTTTAGAAATAAAAAAAAATGTATCAACACACAAACATGGCTCCGTAATGGCCAAACCTTTAACAAGATCTGCATAAAAAGTACATAAACAGACTTTGAAATCTCACAACATTTATTTCGAATCACACTATAGTCCGCGACACGCACAGCAGATCACACAAAAGTAAGTGTGTTCCGAGTAACGGGGCAATGTAAACGAACAGAAATACACTCAGTGCAGAAGAAAAGCTGGAGGTGAATGGCAAAAGCGGTAAAACAGTAAAAGACCCTAAAAGACTTCAAAACACAGCACGAGTACTGACAAGTGCATTAGAACGAATGCATCTTGATAATAAGTCTATCCAACATGTTTGTGTATAGCAGGTACCACGCTATTCCCTTCATTACCTACCAGAAACGGGGATTAGAAAATTACTGGGGAGTCTGAACTAACACTTTAAACATTCTCATATGTTGGGCTGTATGAAAGTTGCTGAAGTTATAAACAAAGTGTCACAGTGTTTAGACGTTGGTGTCGGAACTGTTAAAACAGGAGCCGTATTCTGGGTAAACAACGAGATTCGTAGGCGCTGGCAACTGAAGCCAATGGTAAAATTGTTCTGGGTACAGATGCATTTGTATTCCAGGTACACTTTGGGGTCATATAGGTGGCGCTGATGGCTCAGGCCTGTCGACTGGCTGTATGTTGTTTTCAAATGAAACCAATAAAAAGGCTGTTTGAGGTATGCATCGGGGTCATATAGGTGGCGCTAACGACGCGAGACACAAAAGCAATAACAATTCAATTTAATAGAACTTGTCTTGGTACACATTTGAAGCCAAATAAATGGCGCTGACGTTTGTAGTTATGATTTAAAAACAATTTACAGCGATGCTAATGAATAATTGATATTTTCGAAAAAATCTTAACAAAGTCAAATAAACGTTTGAAATTTAAAACAAGTG